CCATTTAACACTTTTCTACTGCTGAGCCTGTGAGAGTGTTTTCCTTAGGTCAGCCCAGCCATACCAGAGCGCAGATAATCGCAGCGTCTTCCATCAGCGCCAGCGCCAAAAATGAATGTGATATATGCAATCAAGATGTTAAATGGTCTTCGTATACAAGTTTTCAGCGGATTTAGTGACCTAGGGTATTTCAGCGCCAGCGCCAAAATACCCTCGGTCAGGCCAAGTGGGTATGATGTTCGTGTTCAGGAGGTCGAGTTACCTCTAAAACCCAACTTTCAGCCAAATCTGCCCACGTAGAAAATAAGTTGATCAAGATCCGGTCTGTTCTTGGAAAATTGGGTTCGTTTTCTAGGTAAAGCGCGTCGAGTATGGTGTGAGTCCGCAGCCGACTATCGCAATGCATTCAACCTCACGCCTAAATTCTTTTGTGAGCCACTTGCGCCCTACTGAAAAATCGTTATTGTCACCCCCCCCCCCCCGCCGCCCACCCCCACTGCATCCAAAACCGCAATGACCAATTGAAAAGAGTTGGGAACGCGCCAAAATGAAAGCGCTGCCGACCGATTTCAGTGATATTGGCTGTATGTGTGACTTGGCTCACCATGCACGGGCCTTATGTCCTACGTGAACTCATACTTTACTGGAATATCTCTTCAGATCAGAAGTTCAGGAGTATAAATGTATTTGAGGAAATTCAACGTCATGCATCGATATTGAATATGAACATATGGAGATTCACAAATGTGGATACGGAGATTGGTGGTTATCCAGTACCGAAGCACACCATCGTTGCAGCTGAACTGAGCTTGATCCTCGCCGACGAAGCGACTTTTTCCAACTCTAAAGAGGTAAGAGGATCTTTCGGAAGTGCCGCAGAAATTGTCGCTGATAAGCTCACATTCAAATACAGAAAACTTAAAATCAAAAAAGTGAATTTTTAAATGTCGATGTACGTATATAAGTGTCACGCGAGTTGGGAAGTTTTCGGAAATTGGACTTCAAATCTAAGTACTAAATTACAGTTAGTTCTGAGGTAATCTGAAAAAACAAAAACTATCTGGAAGTATAGACCGACGCCAACAGTGCACATACAGTCTCATTGCAAGCATTAGATTGAATACTGGGGTTCCGGAGGCTAGGAAGGATTTCTGACCTCTTCTTGATTTTTCAGTTGTGAGAAACTGTAGGATAAACGCATAATGCGTGAGGGGGGGGATGGTTACAAAACTCGTGGCCTAGATGGCCCAATTTTTTGTGGTTTTTATCAAGAAAAAACTCAAAACTGCTGCGCAGGGTGTCCAGTTTTTATCCGAACTTTTCTGTCAAAAGACAATTCAGTGAAAATAAGATAAGAAAGGATATCAGTTACAGAAGTTTGGAAGTTTGGGTTCATCAAAGAGATAGGATTTTTGTATGAAAAGAAGGCACTATTTACCTTCAATGCCCTCTACCATTCGCAATTGCGCCAGTTTTTGACAGATTTTTTCTCCGTGGACGATTTGGCTGAAATGCTGTTTCCTTTCATGTTCATGCCGAGCGGGTGGGCATTCATATTGAAGGAGGTCAAAGTACCCCAGGAGACAAATTTTTAGTCAATTCCGTTCACGGAGAAAAATTTGGTCAAAAACTGGCTAGATTTCGGATGATTGGGGCAGTAAAGGGTGAATAGTGCCGAAAAGAATTAAGGAACTTCAACTCCGTTTTTTTTCACCTTTAATAACAAAACACTGGATTTTCTGGGTTCCGGACATTTTCCTAGCCCCAGTGCTTTACACCTAGTTCGCTGCAAATGAGGGACGCCCGAGGCTGATGGCGCGTCGCCAGCTCATCCATCGGTTGCTGAAGCGGGTACGCAGCAGCAACTGAAGGAAAGCGACCCGTACATGCGAATAGTATGCAGTCCTGTCGCTTGCCGAAAGAGAAGAGGAAAAAAAGGAGCTGGCCCTGATCATTCCCTCGAGACACGTCCCATCATCGGCAGTGAACAAGACTATAGATGAAATCACATTATTTGCAGTTCGATCCATCACGATTCATCACTGATCCGT